GCCCTAGCCTCTTTAGCCTCTTAGTATTGCATTATAGATGTTAAACTGAATGTCTCTGTTCTATTGATGTGTGTTGCAGATAATTTGACTTACAGGTATTAGATAAACGTCCCTTACCATAAGGGGAAATAAGCTGTGAGTCCGTTGCAAATGCCAACTTATTTCTTTTCCTTTAGGAGACACACATTATCCACACCTTCAAAGAAGACTTCTATGGAGAAATTCTTAGTATAGCAATTATTGGATATATTCGACCTGAAAAGAACTTTGATTCCTTAGGTCAGTATTGCAGGCCACTCTAGAATTACTCTCTTAAGTTTTACTTATTCAAGTGCTATTCCTTTGCTGTTTCTTCATAATTAGCTGCTTTACCTGTTATCATTTGAAATTTCAGTACAGTGTTTTCATCAGATAATGTGTAAGTTAAATTAAAAAGCAAAACAACAAAAAAAAGCCTTCCTGTATCTTACTTCAGTCTAATTTTCAGTTGCCTGAGGAGTAATGTCAAAATCATGAGGTTGTTGTAAAAGCATTGGTCTTATCTGTTCACTTTTTAGAATGCAGCTCTGATAAGTTTTAAACAGTTTAGCAAGCTGTGTTGATCTTTTTCTAAAATTCCTTTTGGATGAGGGAGATAGCAGTGCTTACATTAGTGGAAGATGCAACTCTGACATGTTTGAAAACAAAAAATGTTGCTTTTCAAACCTTGCAGTAATCTCTATATTCTTCCTCTGTGATTTTCTGATATTCTGTGGAAGAAGATATTTTCAGTTGTTATTTTGTGTTCAGCTTTTAAACATCCCTGTTTTTCTGTTTTTAGATGCACTGATTGCAGCAATTCAGGAAGACATCGAAGAGGCAAAAAGACAACTAGATCTACCAGAACATCTTAAACTCAAAGAAGACAATTTCTTTCATCTGCCAGGGGGCAAAATAGTTGACAACCAGTGAAAAAAAAGAACAAACTCTTGCTGCTTTTTTTTTTTTTTTTTTTTTTTAATTGTGGAGTTCTTACGTTTGCACTGCTTATGTAGGTACTTTGTTGTCATATCTTTTGGGGTAATGAGTTTGGAACCAACTCTAAACTGAGTCTTGTAAATGGATTAAAAGCTGTCTTAGATCCTTATTGATAAATTGTCTATCCTAAAGCTGGGACATGTGGAACATGACCAAAGTTAATTATGGCCTCTTCAGCCTTAGTATGTGTAGAGTTCATTTAAGAGAAGAGTGTCAGTTTTTAAGATGGAGTTTATTCCAACCTCTTTTCCCAATTTTATATCATTCTTACATTGGCGTTGTAGATAGTAGCTTAGAAAATTTTGATACTGAGCAAAAAATTTCCTGTGGTGCAGGAAGCCAATGATTAGACGACAAGAACAAGAACAATTCTCCATGGTTCTTGTTTTTTTTCTAATATGCTGTACAGCTGTTGTAGTTGAAACCATTATTTTAACTGAAATTATTTATTTTAATTTTATTTGAAATAAAGATAGTCACTGTTGCTCATTGAGTTACTGGAATCTGAGATACACTTCTGTACAGTTGAAAGTGCATGTGACAGTGCATGACCTCTTTAGCTTCCTTCTGAGGAAGTGTATTGCTGAAATTCAGGAAATGAATGACAGGATGAAAGTTGGTGTGCTCTGAAGTTTTAGGCTCTGAAGTCGTGGAAGTCTTAAAAAAGACTTCTGTTCTTTGGGCTGTAAGGCAGAAGAACTGCATTTTATTTGCTGCTGGTAGTTTTCTTAGATGAGGAGAACCATAGGGTTTTTCACTATACTAACAATATAATGGCTGACTTCATGATGAAAGTTAGTGTAAGGCACAGAAAAATCCCATCAACCCTCTGGGCCAAGTGTAGGTAAGATCCATGGTTTTGTTGACCAAGTAGTCAATACAAATGAAAGCCTTGGGGAATTCTTGAAGTAATGTATCAACATTATAGTAGGAATTGGATATTGTTAGAAGCAATTGCACTACTCCCTACTCTGAAATGTATGCACAGATAAGCAGAGGGGCATTCTCAAGATGAATTGGAGTTTGGATATTACTACTTGAAGAACATAATGTGAGTCCAACTATAAATCTTTCCCTGTAGATTTTTCTATCCCCTTCTCGGTAAGGGGAGCTAGGTAAGTTGTCATGGCTGTTTCATCTTCATATTTGATACTGGCTTATGACATAGGAGGAATGTTTTCTGAAATTCAAAATAATTCTGTGGATATGTCTAAACTGTAGTTCTGTGACAGAACTGTAATTTGAGGGTGCGCAGTTCCTGTAATATAACTTTATGAATTTACTCCTTGTCCTAGTCTGTTGGGATACTACATTTTGGCTGAAGGTTTAAGAGGTTTTAAGTAGATAGCTTGCTGTGTCTTCTTTGTGGCAAGTGCTGTTACGATGCTAGTTCCACTTCATATTGTTTTAACTTTCAGCCAGTACCAGGGGATATTAGTAGGGAAGAGGCCTTGAGTGAATCAAGGAGACTTGTTAGCTGTATAGAAATTATACAGAAACTTGAAATCATTTAAATGAATTGTTCATCTGTTTTGTTGACAGCAGACAGAAGGAATTCAGGGGCACTCATTTCCAACACAAGTACTTATAGGAGTAAAAATTTTGATCTGTGTTGCCAACGTGATTTACACATTTCTCTCCAAAGATGCCAAGTTTTGTTGTCTGGACATTAAACGCACATCTGCCTTCTTCCGTGAAGAGTCTTAGGAAGAAAATTCACTTACCAGCAGTTAGGAATACTTTCTTTAGAAGAAGAATGAAATTGGAGTTCTGCATAACTTGTTGGGAATTGTATGTAAACCTCTGTAAAAACTTGTGTAAGAGTGACAGTTGATTTTTTAATTTTTTAGAGGGAGAATATATTTAGGTGAAGGTTTGAGGCATTCTTGAAGCTGTAAAATTTTGACATTATTACATTTTACTCTTTTGGGGATGAGTAAATAGTAGCCACACTAGTCAACGGAATGTGCTGTCATATATATTCAAAGAAAAAAAGCAGATGTTTATCATAGTACTGTAGCTGAACTCTAATAGCCTCTTTATTTTTTTTTCTCCAGTTAATGTGTCTGTTGTGGAAACCTTAGTGCCTTAAGCTGGTTGTCTGAATGCATTTCTGTATCGGCCAATAAATGATACTATCCAAAATTTGTTTTGGCTGTAGAACCACTGCACTGTGGAGAGAGAACAATGAGAAAGAGAAAGCTTTGAAAAAGTTTTGAGCTTTTTGAGCAAATTATTAGTTTGCTCTCAACTCTCATCTGAAGTGTGACATGTGGTTACAACAGACTAATAAAGTGGTCTTTGTATGTGTCATCAAATTAAAGAAAACATTACTAGATCCATTTGGTTGAGTGTATCTGTCTGTCCATGTTATTTAAGATAAAATGTTATATATCAGCTGTTAGAGCTCAGTACTTAAGTCCTAGCACAGTTCAAACACATTAAGGGTTATATTTTTATATTATATACAAACTGTATTTATTTCAGTTGATGTTACTGCACTGTACTATTAATAAAGGAATTGAAATAGTCAGAGCTGTTTTCATCATAGGTTTCCTGACTATATGTTCATTCAGTATCTGATGTGAATCTTCTTTGTGTATTCCTAAGAATGTTCTGAAAGAGGAACTTCAGATTTATTTAATTACTCTGCCTAAACTTTTGGTTTCAGCAGAGAAGTTTGTTCTTGCATTACAAGCTACAGGTGTGGCATAGAGGGGTTTCTTATAACAATTTTAGTGAACTAGAAGGCCACTTACATTTCTAGAGTCTGAGCAGTACAAATACTTTCAGTTTCAAATACATTCTCAAGTAGAAAACAAGTTTTTTCTTTTTCCCACCTTCTTGTGTTTTGAAATGAAATTTGCTCCAAGCTGCAGGTGGTTGAAGATTGTAAAGTGAGAAAGAGTGAAGAGAGCATGGCTGCCTCCTCAACCTGCTCCTGCCCAGTTTGGGGATCTGAGCTCTCTGCCAGGGTGGAGGACATATCTGCTGCCTTCCCCTTTGCAGGTTCAGCCAGTAGCAAAGTTGAGCACCTATCCGGAGTTGCATAGGCACATGCAGACATGGCCAGGCAATCAGCTTGTCACCAGCAGGTCTAGCCTGAAGCTGGCTGCAACTGTGAACTGCCGTCCTTCAGTCACACGCCCAGACAGTCTGGAATACAGTCATACAGTATCTGGTATAAGTAGATTGAGCGCGTTTTCCTATAAACAGGTATGGAACATATATTGTTGGTGTCCTTAATTTGGGACGGGATGATGTACTGATCCTTACAGGGCGACCCATCAGCACCACGGTCAGCCTGAGTAAACACAGTGCAGCAGAGCAGTGGCCTTGAGCCTGTGCCTTGCTGCACGAGTCCTGTGACTGTAGGGCAAACTCAAGCAGATTGTTGTACTGGAGGGGCCTGCAGGCAGCTTGCCTTCAGTACCATTAGCCTTTACACCACCTTCCCAGCTTTGCCTCACAACAGTGCCGATGAGAACATCCTTGATGTTCCTTTATATCCTAATGAGAGCCATTGTCTTGCAAGACAAATAGAGCTGGAATTATGGTACCTGGTGAGTGATCTCCCTGTCCTTACTTCAACCCAGAGCCTTTATTTTCTTCATTGTATCTTCTCTAATTTTGAGGAGAAGTGATGTAGAACTGCCCACTGGTGTGAAACCACCACAGATAAGTGTAGAACCTGACCTGTTCCTGAAAAAAATCTTCATCAAAGTGCTGAATACGTTATACGAAAGCGGAACAATAAAAGAACACCTATTTTCCTTTTTAATATTCTATAGACTACGAAGACTTGTGAAGAAATATGCACTTGTTTTGTTGGTTAAGGAGGTGTTGCTGCTGCAGGTGTTAAGCCTGGTTAAACCTGTTCTGAAAAGGGATATATGAAACATAAGGAGTATTTCAAGACAAATATATTTTTCTTTGTCATGAGAAGACCAAATGTCTCAATTCTATTTGAAACAGTTGTATGGTAAGTTAAGCAGTTGACCTTTTCATCCCTGGAGGTGTTCAAGGTCAGGTTGGATGGGGCCCTGGGCAGCCTGATCTGGTGGGGGGCAGCCCTGTCTGCAGCAGGGGGCTGGAATTGGGTGATCTTCAAGGTCCTTTTCAACCCAAGCCATTCTGTGATTCTATGATTCTATGATACATACATCTGTTCCTCTTTCTGGTTTGAAATTCTAGCCTGAGTTCTTAGCCAGAAGTCATGTAATAGTCATATAAGAACCACAGTTACATGGATTGTACACTACAGTAATGCAATCTGATTTAGGAAATTGTCTGCAATGGAAGTTGGCTTTGGCCTTAAGGCATGTAAACTCCTATCAGCTATTTCACATCCTTTCTTGCAAACCTCCAGAACAGACAGGGAAGAGGTAATTTTTTCCCTATTTACATACATTCCATTGGATAGGGAGTGGGTAAAGTGTGCTGGTAACTCCCACTTCCCATTAAAATCAAATTACTTAGTTACATGAGAGGTGAGTGGGTGGTAAAATTGTGCAAGAAGACATGAATTTATGTAATCTTCTTGAAAGATCATTATTAATGAGAGAGTAATGAGAGATAATATCTAGGAGAAAGGGAGAGTACAACTTCTTGGAAAAGAGCCTGAGGCTTGAGAAACTCCATGGGTATAGGAGAATAGCAAAGAAAGAGGTACAAGGAGACAAAAGAAGAGAAGAATAGGCCTTGAAATGAAGAACAGCTTAAGAAGTAAGAAACTGAGAGAAATTTACCTACAATACAGTGTGAGGCTGTAACTCTGCTAGGAAACAGATGAAAGGGATGTCATAGCAGGTTGGTTTTGTTTGTTTGTTTAAATGTTTTTGTTTCCTTCAGGATATTTTTCTCAGTGTGGTAGGTGAATCACAGAATCACGGAATTGCAGAGATTGAAAGGGACCTCAAGAGACTATCGAGTCCAAACCTGCTAAAGCAGGTTTCCTATAATGGGTCTTGAATATCTCCATAGAAGACTCCACGATCTCTCTGGGCAACCATTTCCAGTGCACTGTCACCCTTAACGTAAAGAAGTTCTGCATATTTGTAGGGAATTCCTGTGTACGATTTTTAGGCCATTACTCCTTGTGCTATTGCTGTACACCATTGAGAAGAGCCTGGCTTCATCCATTTGCCTCCCAGCTCCCTGTAGATTATTTATAAACATTAACTAGATCCCCCCCTCAGTCTTCTTTTACTGAAGCTGAACAGATCCAGGTTACTCAGCCTTTCCTCATAAGGGCTCCAGGCCCTTTATCATCTTTGTGTGTGGCCCTCCACTGGACTCCTTTTAGAAGATCCCTGTTTTTTTTTTTTTTTTTTTTTTTTAACTGGGGAGTCCAGAACTGGACATACTATTCTAAATGTGGCCTCCCCAGGGCAGAGCAGAGGGGGAGCATCACTTCTCTCTCGACCTACTGGCCACACTCTCTTTAATGTACCCCAGGATACCGCTGGCCAACCTGTTGCCCAAGAAAGAGAAGGCATGAAAAGAGAGAGATAGCATTGGCTTTTTTGGCATCTAGGGATTTGTGGATTTGAACAGGTGTGAATTTTAATTTCTTTACCTTTTTTTTTTTTTTTTTTTTTTCCCTAAGACAGTGTAAAAGATGGTATTTCAGTTCCTTTTGTGCTATATTCTACACTTTTATTACTGGCTTCCTTCTTTGCACTGTTTCCTGTGAAGATTTCTTCAGCAGTGTCAGTGAATCACTGACTGTTGGTGGCTCTTGGGCAGATGACAGACTTTATCATTCTTCGTGGTCTCCCTATGCACTCTCAGCAGGCAAAGGGAGGGAAAAACCATAAAGTTCATATGAATCTCTAGGTCACTAGTTTGGGCACCCCTGAAAACTATTTTTAGGCTGCTTTTTCAAAATGAATAAACACAACCAAACTTTTTCACAATTCTCTTCCTTATGTGATGTCTTCCTAATGTTACTCATTGGCTATTTATTGCTGTCTCAAGAACTTTCAAAGGCAACTATCTGCCACCTGTAAAGGTGGGCATTTTGATCCTGTGCATACAACATAAAATAATCTTCCTGCTGTGTCTTGAGAATTGCCTTCTCATCTGAGCAGCCATTTGAGCAGCCAAAACCACTGCATTTAGAAAGGAGATGTCAGTACCACTTCTCTCCTAATAAATCTTTTTCCTAACAAATGTCTCAGCTTTGTACCACAAGGTTCTGAAAGCTTATCCCCTACTTTGTGACATCTGGGGTCCCTGACAACACATTAAAAGCTCTAAGAACTAGAAAAAAAAACACCTATCAGACTGAAAAAATGAAAGCATATGTAGCTATTAAAACAAGGTACCTCTATAAAGAACAGGTATTTGAGAAAATTTCAGATGCATATCTAAAAATGTAATTTTGTTCCAGTCTTTCTTGTACAAAATTTAGACAAAATTCAGACAAAATTCTTCTAAAAAACAAGGTTTAAATTTATGTTTTTGTTTGTTTATTTGTTTTTTAACCTTTAGAGCAAATTCATATATAGAACGCCACAGAATAATGTTGTTTGTCTGAGAGCCCATAATCAAAAATCTCATTTTACCAGCTTGCAGTGATTTCAGGCACAGGTTTAGTCTTGATTATGCCTTTGAAATCTGATAAGGAATGGGTTATACTAAGACACTAAGCCACTAACACTAATTAATTAAAAAAGTGTAACATTAATCCAAGTGAGTGTAGGAGTGTATTCACAAATACCCTTTTTCAATAACGCCTTTTAAATATATTTTTCACCTTTGTTTCTTCCTTCTTTGTGTTTACTTATTGATTTATTTATTTTCCAGAAGTCCTGTGGGTAAGTTTGAAGCAGTGTTTGTGTTAGCTACAATGCACGCATATAAGCAAATGTACATAAGTAAAGTGCTGCAATTCAATAATATGGGCAGCCAAGCATCTAAAATATTATCTATTATCTAAAATAATAACTTTTATTCAAGCTCATCTTCTTTATTATTCTTCAAGAGACCATACTTAAATTTACAATGGGCTATTGCTATCCTGTCTTATATGTGCCCTATCATCTTCTTCATCATCATCTTCCACATTCATTTCCATAATCTATTACTTGATCTTCCCAATCCTGATAGCTTGTGCTCTTGTAGCAGTTACTGTGGTGGGAAGGAAAGGCTTTGGAGTGAGCTATCAGCTTCTCCTACCCACCTTTATTGGCAGCTGCAGTTTTGGTTTGCATTTTCTCCAGACAAGTATAATGTCTCCATTAAGAATTAAAATTAGGTAATAGCAAAGAAAGTGGTCTAGCTCACCTGAGAAACATAAATTACCCAGAAATACTTTCATTTTTAGTTCTCTGGTGTCTGGAAGGATTTGAAGACAGCTTGTGTTGCTTCAGCCTGCTTTTCCCATCTGTATCACTTTGGTCTGATGAGCACATTCTTTCACTCTACAAATCTTGTGTGTAATGCTATAGCTACTTCAAAGGATTTTGACATGATGATTCAGATTTCTGTCCATTGAAACCAATACTTACCAATGAACTAGTTTATGAAATCAGGGACAT